TCTTTTAAAATGTCTTCAACGAGAAATCCATTTTTTCGAAATCTATATTTTGTATATATATTTTTATTTTTTGAACTTTTTTTCGCCTTTAGTTTTATTTTTATAATTTTTATTTTATTTTTTAATATTACTTTTTGTTTTTCTTATTTTTTAGGACCTCTTGGCGCTAGTGCACCACTCAGGCGAGGCAAGTTAAAATTTGAGAGTGAGAACGACACTTGGGTCTTGGAAATTCATTTCTGAGCGAGAGAAATGAGCAATTGGGCCTTAAAAGAAATATAAGAGAGCGTAATTGAACCAATTGTTATCATGATCAGGCAGGTGCTCAAGGGCTCAAAGGGGTTGGTCCAGGCAAAATTGGTCAAATTAGCTATCAAACACTGTACATGCCACTTTTTCAATATAAAAAATTAAAAGATTTATTAGAATATTGAAAATCTAATAAAAATTAGAAACACTTAGGCAAAACTGGTGAAAATTGGGGAAAAGAGTTTGGTGTTTCTAATTTTAGCTGAATACAAAAGGTAAAACTCTCAAGAAATATTGTTTTGTTGAGTTTTCCAAAGTAGCTAAATATTGGCCACTTTTTTAAAGATTAACATTAAAAAAGAATAGATTTTGCTCCAGTTTCAAGAAACTATTACACAAAGATGTTTTTGCTCCAGTTTCAATAAATTATTACACAAAAATGTTCTATTTGAAATAAATTTTGTTCCAAAATTCTGCATATTTAATAAATCATCATGACAAAAGGAATAGATCTTACTCAAAATTTAATAAGCTGTCAAAATAAAAAAACACCGAAATATAAAAAAAAAGAACGAATTTAAAAAAATTTGATGTTTTATTTTTTGAAGAAGGAAAGCAAGAAATACTTTTTTTTTTTTATCACATTGTTTTGTTACAATATTTGGGAATAAAATGTTCTCCCTGCAATGACAATAAAACATGAAAAGAAAAGTATAAAATCCTACAAAATTTTGGCAAGAAATCTAAAAAAATGGATTTGAATTCAACTTTTCCAAAATCATGGTCCATTAGAATTAGCAAAACCAGTGATCGAACCAGTTTAATAGCTCAAATATCAATTTTGACCCTTTTTTAGGCTTTCCATTGGAATGGAGGAGTTTCCAGTTGCCTAGTCTATTGATCGAACCGTCAGTCATGTTCCATTTTGATAAGATATATCATTATTTGAACCCGAAAGAAAGAATACACACCAATTGATTATGAAAAGATTAAGATATGTTATTATTTGGCGAAAAAAGTAAAAAAAATTGCATTAAACACGACACTGAGTTTATAATTGGTCATTACTATATTTGAAGATATTGGTGGCTCCTAATAAGCTTATTAGCAAATATTTTGCAGAGCTTCTTCCAACACCACATTAATTGGATTCAAGGGACTAAAATCTTACCATTGATGGATTCCAAATTCTCGATGATTTACAGCCTTCAAATCAAGAAATCAACTTGTTTTGAAAACCATCACCGAGAAGTACACTTAAAGCAACAACTGACAAATAGATTGAGATTAATGCATAATTTCAGCCATGTTTTGCATGCTTTGATTTTTGTTAACCCCTTCAATTCTGACGGCATGGAGCAATTAACCCCTTCAATTCTGACGGCATGGAGCAATTAGAAGGCAGAATATTTTTAGATTGACACAGTACAAGATAAATTAGACTATATAAAAAAAAAAAGTGGAGCACATCACTCCCAGATTTATGGCTTTAACCAAAGTATGATATATTATAAAGGATGAAATTTCTAGAAGGCCTAGGCTTAGTAAACACAAAATAAAACCTCACTACAAATCTTCATTTGGAAAGTACTTTGACAACAAAAATTTCCATGATGCACTAAAATTAATTTCTAACATCAACAAAAAAATTTGAAATTAAAAAAAATAGTGTAGATCTTACGAATATGCATATACTCATTTTTAGGGCAAAATAGACAGTCTAGATAATTTGTTACAATATATACTGTTTTTAGAACTTGAAACCTAAATAATTTTCTACAATCATAATGTTCAAACTGAAATGATCAATGTAAATGTTTTCTAATACTTGAATTGCAATTTTTTATAGGTGGGGCTTTATTTATTTCAATAAAATTGCAGTCCTGTCAAATCATTTTTTCATTTTAAAAGTAAATATTGTACATAATATCATTTACCTTTGATGCAAGTAGGTCTTATGTGCTGTGAAATTTAATAGCTTAAATGTATGACAAAGTCTTAAAAAATTATTTTTAAAATTTGAGCTTAGTCAAAATTAATTATCACTATTTTATACTTAAGAAAAATGGTCTGAGAGTATATTTTTTTCTTAAAAGTGTTACCTACTGCGACTCTCCATGAAGCCAAACTTCTCAGGAGTAATCATGCCGACACGTGATCGATTTCTCAAATCACACCTTAACAAAATATCGAATGGCAAATGGCTACCAAGTTTATAAGGAATCTGAAACTGTTTGAGCCTCCTCAAAAACCCAGAGATAAACCATAAAAATGGAGGTCTACTCTCATGGTCTCTACTCTCCTCACTTCCCTCCCCCAAAGTCCAGACCCAAAACCCTAATTGACCCTAAATTTGGAGGGAACTTTGCTCAGAGGCTCCAGAGTAGAAGCCCCATCACATGTTTTTCTAGTAAATGGGCAGAACGCCTTCTTGGTGATTTCCATGTTCAACCCTCTGAAACCTCTGAAACTGGATCTTCAACTCTTACTCTTTCTTCATTGCTTCCTCCTGCTTCTATTATACCTGAGAGGAAGGTCTCTCTTCCTTTGGATTTTTATCAGGTATATGTCAATACTATAAGGGATATGTGTTTTTTTTGGTGGAATTATGAAGTATTACTGCACTATGGTTTGTCAGGAGTTGAAGATTTGCTAGTCTGTTCCTTTTTTCATTTTTTTCAATTTTATGCATTTGATGTTGGTGGCTCAAAGAATTGTGTTTTTGAGGTTGTAATCATTTTGTTGCTGGTTTGTTACCATTTGGGCCTCAAAGTGGGTTAGGTTTTTTTTCTCTATAACTTTTTAGATATATGGCTGTTTGATTATTGCTTTAGCTTTTTTTTTTGTTTTGGGAAAGGAATTATATTTTCTTCTATTATAAAAAATTATTTGCTCGTTTCAAAAACTAAACCCTTCTATCAAAATTGGAGTTCAGTGATCCCCAATTCTAGTTTTAGTCTTTCAAGGTGGATTTTAGGTTACAACTATCTGAAATTTATTTTTCCAATTTTTCTTTTCTTCCCCCAACCATTGTTCTTATTTTGCAAAGGAATTGAATTGGTGTACAACCCATTGTATGTTTTGTAAGTGTTAAAAACTTATCATCCTTTTTTTGGGCTCCAAGCAAGATATGTGCATCACCTGAGTGTTTTTGGTGGAAAAATAATTAATGCCTAGCACCCATTTTCTAGTTTGCTGTCCAGTTTGAAATTCTTTTGTTGGTTGCAAAAGGTACATCTTTTTTATGGTCAACATTACAAAGTTATTTATTTATTTATTCCTTCGATTCACACTAGAAAATTGTCTTTTTGGTTGCAGATTTTGGGGGCAGAGACTCATTTCTTGGGTGATGGCATTAGAAGAGCCTATGATTCTAGGGTTTCCAGACCACCCCAGGATGGATTTAGCCAGGAAGCTTTAATGGGTAGGAGGCAGATCTTAGAGGCTGCGTGTGAAACATTGGCAAATCCAATGTCGAGGGGAGAATACAATCAAGGACTCCTTGTTGATGAAAATGCTACTTTGATGACTGAAGTCCCATGGGATAAGGTTAACCAATATAATTTTTCACTATTGTTGCACAAAAAAATATGTCGAAATGTTTTGGATTGAAATATTAAAAAGAAAATGAAATGCTTTTGCTTTCTCTTTGCAAAACAATTATACCTTTGGATCAATGATCATAGGTTCCTGGTGCTCTATGTGTACTTCAAGAGGTGGGAGAGACTGAAGTGGTTCTTGAGGTGGGGCACAATTTGTTGCAGGAAAGCCTGCCCAAGTCCTTTAAGCAAGATGTTGTGTTGGCCTTGGCCTTATCCTATGTGGACTTGTCCAGAGAGGCGATGGCTCTGGCCCCTCCAGATTTCATCAAGAGCTGTGAAGTACTCGAAAGGGCACTGAAATTATTGCAGGTAACTTGCTTGTGCTTGGAACATATTTATGCATAATTCCTACTGCTTATGCCTTACAGCGATTGTTATTTGTTTGAAGGCTCAATGGGATCCTGGGAAGTTTGTAAATCTGTCGATAATTCTGAATTGCAGAAAGATGAGTTCCCACTTTGTGAATGTCATTCTCTGTGTGCTTGTTTTATCTATTAGGAATCTGTCAACTTATGTGAACATCCCAGCTTATGTTTCATGATTGATCTTCTCAGTTTTTCAATATTAGTTAAGTTCAACATGATCAATAAGATATTCTAGCAAATTATATGATAGCAATTTGCTTCTGTGATGTGCAAGTCGGTACAGCAAAGTTGTATGTACCGTCGCATCCATTCATTATGTGAAATGAATTATGCTTGCTAATGGGACCCTTTGAAGAGCCTTTGATGTAAAATAATTCATGTAGATCTCAATAATCTTGAACATACTTCATGGGTAAGAATTCAACTGGTTTAGGGCCATGTGCGGCAGTCATGGCAAAGGGTTTTGTTAATTGATTGAGGCTGTTGAAACACTTGTGGATCACAGACCTAGACTTTGAAACTTTGTTCTTGTACTGGTTTCTAAATTCTGTTGTATGCCTTGTTTCTAAACTGCAAACAATATATATTCTGCTGTTTACTGCGGATTCTTCTTGAGATCTTCAAATTTCTGTAAGAATCAAGCAAAAGCGAGCATTTGATGCTTCTGTGAGGAGCCATTTTCATTGTGAGTATGGTTATCGTCTCTTATACAGGAGGAGGGAGCAAGTAACCTTGCACCTGATCTACAGTCACAGATAGATGAGACACTGGAGGAATTGACACCCCGCTGTGTTTTGGAGCTCTTAGCTCTGCCCCTTGATGAAGAGAATCGAAGAAGAAGGGAAGAGGGTCTTCATGGTGTTCGAAATATTTTATGGGCAGTTGGAGGAGGAGGTGCAGTGGCCATAGCTGGAGGGTTCAGCAGGGAGGACTATATGAATGATGCTTTCTTATGTATGAAAGCTGCTGAGCAGGTCTGCAAATGGCTTATTGAGAAGTTAAACGTCCTTAATTCAGGGTATGCTTTGCTGAAAGAGGTCTTTGTGAATGGGGGGTTTAGGTTCACTACTCCAATATTATTTCCCTATGGTTCTTTGATGTTGCTTCGTTTTCCTGCTTATTCTTTGATGACTGGAATTTGATGCCTATAATTAAGGGCTTTATGATTGTTCTTGACTGAAACAGAAATAGGTGGCATGCTGGGGTTCATATTTCAGCTGTTAAAGCCTGAAATTTGGTTGAAGTTTGTCCCAATTCAATTGGAAATGACAATATTTCAGTATCAAACAATGCCGGGATCTTTTATAGCTATTTTGGACCAAATTCAGCTATGTTTGAGAAAATTGGTTCTTGATATTTTATTATGCAGAAAAAATAGAAGTTTGTTCAATTGAGGTCTTTTATTGGGTTAATAAAATGGGTTTTTAACAATGACTTTCTTTCAAATTCCGAACCACATAGAAAACTGAAATTTAACATGGCTTCTCTCCTTGACCAGTTAACGTGGCCTTTTTATGTGCTACTTAGGTAGATTTATTTGCATCAACACCTGGCAATATCCCGGCAGAAAGCTTCGAGGTCTATGGCGTGGCACTTGCTCTTGTTGCTCAAGCCTTTGTGGGTAAAAAGCCCCATTTGATCCAGGAGGCCGACAACCTTTTCCGGCAACTTCAGCAGACCAAGATAACTGTACCCCTAGAAAGCCTTGGCGATCAAGCCGGGCCAACTGATCGCATGATCGATTTTGCCCTAGAACGTGGCCTTTGCTCACTTCTTGTTGGTGAGCTTGATGATTGCCGTTCATGGCTGGGTTTAGATAGTGAGGAGTCTTCATATAGAGACCCCTCTGTTGTAGAGTTTGTTATAACGAACTCAATGGGTAGTAAGGATGATGATCTCCTTCCTGGTCTGTGCAAACTCTTGGAGAGTTGGCTAATGGAGGTTGTTTTTCCTAGATTCAGAGATACAAGGAGCATACAGTTTAAGCTTGGGGACTACTATGATGACCCAATTGTTCTTAGTTATTTGGAGGGGCTCGAGAAAGGTGGGGGCTCACCTTTAGCTGCGGCAGCTGCCATTGTGAGAATTGGGCAAGGGGCCACAGCTGCTCTTGATAATGTGAAGACGAGTGCCATGCAGGCATTGAAGAAAGTATTCCCCTTGGGGAATAGAGATGAAAGGAAGAGAGAGAGAGATGACGTTCCAACCGTTTATGAATTGGAAGAAAAGGTCTCTATGGATGAAATTGATCAAGGAAGTTCTGGTGCTTTGGCTGAGGATATTGCTGCTACCACTAGTGATGAATACGGGGAGACCCAAGAAATCATGGCTGATAGCATAAAAGAAGTCGGCATCAAAGTTATGTGTGCTGGTGTGGTCGTTGGATTAGCTGTCATTGTGGGGCTGAAGCTCGTACCTGCTCGATGGGGCTCGTTATTTTCTGGGAAGGAAACCCCCTCAGCATTGGCCGCTATTAGCGAACCGGGTAAGGCCTGAAGCATTTTTCATGGATTTGCAGCTAGAAGTTAAATGTCTGAGATGAAGTGAAACTGACCTGGAACTATTAGGTAGTGGGTGATTGTTAGCCTCATTGCAAATTTGATGTATATCATTTGACATGAAGTTTTAGTGAAAGCCCTCCAGAGAAAGAAATTCAGCAATAGTTGGTGTGTATGTTTGCAATAGTGTGCACGCGAGGACACATGTGTGTGTGTTTGCAATAGTGTGCATGCGAGCGCTCGTGCGTGTGCATGTGTGTGTGTGTGTGTGTGTGTGTGTGTGTGAGAGAGAGAGAGAGAGAGAGAGAGAGAGAGAGAGAGAGAGAGAGAGAC